TAGCATCCCGTGTCCAGTGGCTTTAATTGCATGCAAAACTCATGGACACTAAATCAAGAACCTAAGTACTTAATCCAAAAACATAAAACTTGAATCGAATCAATTTATTAGCAAAAATTTCTAATCCCAAAATCCATGAACAATCATTCAAAATGGCCCAATGTACTTAATTAAAGATTAACCTTTAATTCATGAAACAACATTGTCAACCGAAATCGAAACAAATCAAAACTGATTCCCAAAAACTGGAAAAAATGTCGTTACTATCCAAAATTTTGCCCTCGTCGCCAATTACACCTAATAGATTTTTGGTTAGCCCACTTTACCCTAATGTTTGAAATTTTTGTCAATTTCGTCCAATCGGCCCATTTTCCGTCTAAATTAACGGATCTCCGTTAGTTTTTTAATAAAATAATAATTTAATTACAAAAACACCCCAATCATTTTTTAAAATTTTAAAAATAACTCCTAATATATATAAAAATAACAAAACAGTCTCTTTTCACTTTTTTTTATTTTATTTTTCTCTATCTTGTTCGATTTCTCTTTACTACTTGTAATGACCATAAAAGTCTATTATATGAGGGGGTTCGATTTCTCTTTACTACTTGTAATGACCATAAAAGTCTATTATATGAGGGGTTATTTTAGGGATGAAAAGTAAAAAGGGACTATTTTGTTATTTTATATATTTTAAGGGTTATTTTTAAAATTTTTAAAAACTACTGGGATTTTTTATATTTAAATTTATTATTTTATTAAAAAACTAACGGAGATCCATTAATTTGGACGGAAAATGGACCGATTGGACGAAATTGGCAAAAATTTCAAACATTAGGGTAAAGTTGGCTAACCGAAAATCTATTGGGTATGATTGACGATGAGGGCAAAGCTTTGGATAAGAACGATATTTTTTCCCCCAAAAACTGAAGAAAGCCTGGATGGCCAACCGGACCAAGATCATATTTGACAAATTATGAACCATATAGGCATGCACCATATTCATATTTTATTACAACCGAGACAAAAAATCTATCTATATACTATATTAAGGCAAAAACCAAAGAGGGAAATCTAAAGGCATAGAGCACATGCCACATAGGATTTAATCCTATGTGGTATTTTCTTATTGTATATTTAAAAATTTAAAAATGCACAAAACAGAATAATAAAAACCAAAAAAATAAATAAAAATAAAAAAGATCAAATGTTATTTTGTTACGTCACAATCCTTTTACCGAATTTCAACTCTATCAGAATTCTTGCAGGCAGGCGCAACTTCCAAGCATTAAAAATGAGTAAATTCGTAAGAAATGGAGCAATTGCCTCTTTGATGCTTTCCCAACATATATCCATCAGCACTAAAATTAAATCTTTAATTTTCAAGTGTTGTTCCACCAAGAATGAAGAATCTAAAGAATCCACTTGGTACGTTTACTCTCTTGGAAAATGATAACTCAAATCCAAGGCTACGAATGTAGTCTACAAAGAAGTATTGCAGGACATATAACTATTCAATTCGAAGTTGATTTTTTTTTTTCGTTTTTATATTCACTTTTTTAAAAATAATTTCTTAATAATATTCTTTGCCTTAAATAAATTACTACCATATTCATTTGGTAAAGTGTTGTTGGTGTTTATGTTTTATATATTTTACAGTGAAGTCATTATACATTTCATAATTAACATTGTATAAAGGTACAATATCCATAAATATTTGCTCGTGTTGTAATATCTATACATATATGTTCTCCCCGTCAATCGGACAGGTCTAACACCTAATAATACTAATAATAATAACCGAAGTCCAAGTCAACAATTTTCGGCAACCGTAGAACCAAAAAACAAACTAGCATATCTGAATTAAAACTTTAGCAAATCTGGGGTGTTTTTTATTTCGTTTCATACATAATTCTTTAATCAAACAAACCCTGTGCAAAACTAAAATTTTTTGTCTTGATTAACACAAAAACCAATCACGTTTTGTGCCGGATCAAAGTAACCAAAAACCAAACCTAATTGCAAACCAAATCACAAGACCAGATTTTAACTATGAAACATATAAACTGATATCGGTCACGTGGTGGCTATAAACCCAAATACTGTAACCGAAGCTCTAATATTATTGGATTATCACGACCAAACTTTAAGCATAAAATAATCAAAACAGCAAATCAAAATTGATCATTTATAGACCGAAAGCCGGAAAAGTTAAACCTTAAGGGCATAACCAAATCCCAGCCGAAACCATCAATTTTAGATCTTGCAATATAAAATCGAGACTTAAACGACTAAACCAAATTTCCCAACAATTGACATGAATGTTGCTCTGATACCACTTGTAGGAATTAATTCAAATACTGTAGAAACCTCCATATCATATTATTAAAAACTATACAAAAGCGGAAGAGTACCTTAATCTGTAACAACAAGAACATCGATCCGATTTGCTCTTTCAGATAATTCCGTCAAGCCCTTAGGGGAACCTCTAACTAATGGGAACAGAGATTTAGCATGACGGCTCATACGGAGACCACAACCAATATAAATAGTAGGGTTTTCGGTTCCACCCATCACAGAACTGGAAACTGGACTTTAGAGTTTTTACACAAAGTTGGACCACACTTTAATAAGATGTTGTAAGCCCAATTACTGTTACTGCAATTAGATCACTTAAGTTAGGCCAGACCTTAAGATAGCACTTAAATATACAATTAATTATATATAATGTATAATGTCCAAAATAGATCTTACATATATACGTTCCTATATGGAACTTGGAAGGTATTGCTTGCGAAAGAGTACCACGGCAATCCATAACCCAACGTTTTCACTATGAATGCATGCCATTTGGCCAAAAACTATAAAAATGAATTACTCCTATATGTTTGTGATCCACAGTAGAATATATAATATTATCTTGTCCCAAAAAAAATAGTTCAAATTGAGTTTGAGATTTTTACTAGTTTTAATATAAATTTAAAAACTCAATGTGAACTATTTTTTCGGACGGATGGAGTAGATATATACACGTTTGATGAGGCAAGTCCATCAATTTTGAACTTCCATTGTATAGTTATTTTTTAAAGTAATTTTAATTGGATTTTCTTTTTAAATCATATCCATGATCTCAAGCACTGGCATTGGAAAAAAATTTGGCCAAAGCCTCAAAAAGCCACGACTAAATCTAGACAATCCCCTTAGACAAGTGAGTGGAAATTTTTGGGAACATGATTCGTTGTGGAGCTCCCTCAAGGTTTGTAACAATATATGAAAATTCTTTGAAAAACGAATATTTAACTCGGAAACAAATCTCCAGTTTTTTAAAAAACATGCGATATGTAGATACGTAGAGGTGATTATAGACATCAATGCTTTGAAAATTACAGAACCACCTTAATATAAAGACTATTGTTCAAAGGTCAAGTTATGTTACAAACCTGACAAAAGTTAGACGAGTAGTAATTATAATATAGATAGTGGATATCAATAATGTCCTGGATAAAACGACTATGTATTTATGATACACTATTTAGATTAATTGGATTTGTTTCACGTATTTCTAATTCAATTTGTAGACTTTCTTGTCTATATATTTCCGGACTGAGATTTTTTTGAACGGAATTAAAATTTCTTTCACTTGTATTTATATATACTGCCTTCGGTCCTTAATATAAGGTATTTTAATTTATCTTAGGTTTAACCTAATACACATTTTTAATCAACGAAAAAGACTTAAACATATATCGCAATAGTCAGGAGAACACAACGGATGTAAAAATATATTTTTAAGATTTTTTTCGTCGATGAAAAATATGTATTAGGTAAAATATATGAAAAGTCAAAATGCTTTATAATAAGTACCGGAAGGAGTATAACATAAGACGGATTAATTAAACTTATTAAGTGACACAATTTAATCAAACATCCTGCCAAATATTCATATCAAGACGGTTTGAGAAATGATATTTTCTACGTCCCTTACTTTGTCCTACCATTCGGCGTTCTCCTTATCAAAGGCTATATTTATCTTCTCTGGTCCCTCCCTTCGAAGACAATTTTCACCCCTTTTGGCTTTTGTGTCGATGTTTTTGCAACTCTTTAAGCTTTTACACTAAATTATCAGCTTGCTATATATGGTGAACTAATTTTCTTTTAGGGGACAATGATTGTTTGTTGATGCAGAAGGTTGATGAATATGAAGCAAAATAAGGTTGAAAATTAACCAGGAAATTTCTGGTTCAGCCTGATTTTTTTTTTTTTTTGGAAGTAAAAATTCTTACTCATGCTTCTATATGGTGCTAACAATATAGAATAATAACTGAAGTCCTCTAAAATATTTGTACCAAAAGAACCTAAACAATGTTAGCGTGCTGAATATATATATATATATATATATGTATATATTCTGAAGAATTCCTAAATTGTACTATCTTCTAATGGATTTAAATACGCTTTTATTAAGCTGTTTTAAGCAGGATAAATTTTTGGATTGTAGGCTAAATAAAAGCTGAAGGGCCAAAAGACAAATTGGCTAAATTCGATATGCACATTACATAAACAAAGAGTCTAGTGAATTAATTATGTACAACAACAACAAGATCATACAGTATGTTAATTAGGTAGTGATAGATTTTATATAATTTCTTAATTTATTAGAGATTCTAATATGCCACATGTATCACCATAAAATAGTTCACTTTTAATTTTCAAATTTATAGATTTTTAGGACAGACAAAGAAAAATCGTATAATATTTCAATGTTAAGAAAGAAATGCAAGATTAAAATATGATCTGATAATTCAATTCTTCTAAAAAGAAAAATTCCGAGGAAACAAAGAAAGAAACAATGCTTTCAATCACTTTCCAAAAAAAAAAAAAAATTGATTTCAATCACTATATTTTCTTTTGATTCACTATTTTCGAATAGGGGTAAATGAGGGTGATCCAATAAATCATAGGTTAAACCATAGTTTTATAGATTGAAAAAAAAAGAAAAGAAAATCCCTAGAAATCATTAACAATCGAAAAAATAGTTAAAAAAAAAAATTGTCGTTGGCCAAATTTTGTCACCTATAAAAATCTTCAGCTCAAACTTTCCCTTTTCCCCACCATTTGCTCTCCTCCACTCCCCCAAAAAAGAACAAACACACTTCCCGGCAAATTATCTCCCCAATTCTGCGAAACCGAAAGCTGACAAAAATCACCGGAAAACACATTTCAAGATGAGAGAAATCCTTCACATTCAGGGCGGACAATGTGGGAACCAGATCGGAGCTAAGTTCTGGGAGGTCATTTGCGACGAGCATGGCATTGACCACACCGGCAAGTACTCCGGCGACTCAGACCTCCAATTAGAGCGCATCAATGTCTACTACAACGAGGCCAGCGGTGGCCGGTATGTTCCTCGCGCCGTTCTTATGGACCTTGAACCTGGTACTATGGATTCAGTTCGTTCGGGCCCTTACGGTCAGATTTTCCGGCCGGATAACTTTGTGTTTGGACAATCTGGTGCTGGAAACAATTGGGCTAAAGGTCATTACACCGAGGGTGCTGAGCTGATTGATTCTGTTCTCGATGTTGTTCGAAAGGAAGCTGAGAATTGCGATTGCTTGCAAGGTCAACATCTCCTTTTTTCATTTTTTTTTTCTTTTCTCTGGTGTCTTGTTTTTATGTTGAATTTCCGTTCGATATTCGAATTTGGAAGTAATGGAAAATGTGCTTAGGATTTTGGCTTTAATGTTTGCACTGTTCTGATGGTAGATCTGGTATTCAGTTCATTGTTTGGGGGAGTCTAATGGAATTTTAGTTGGATCTGCAATTGGGTTATGTTGATATTGAAGCCACGGCCTAGAATTGTGATATTGGTTCCTCGGTTGATGATTTGAATTGTCTAGATCTTGTTAATGTTTCTTCGAGTTTTGGCCATTGCCTATGAATCTTGATAAAGAGTTTTGGCCTCGGTTGATGATTCATATAAAGTATGGATGATTATTTCTTGTGGCACCTCACGGAAGTCATCTTGAGTTCAGTTACATCTCTCTCTTTTTTTTTTTTTTTGGGTTTTTATTTAGGATAAGGTTTCAAGCTAACTATTGTTCTACCACAACTTTGGAAAATGCTGTTAGACCCTTTGGCCTCTAAATGCTCTTGCTTGAAATGATTACTTTTGGCTTAGATGCATTCAATTCAACTACTTGTTGCCTTACACTTCCTTCTTAAAGGATACTTAAGCCAAACAAACTTTTGAATTGCATTAGCTCATATTTAAGGGCTTGGTGGCTTGTTCTTTTGCTGTTTCTGTGAGTGATCACTCTTAGTTCAGCTTGCATTTCTCCATTTACTCATATTCTTTTCTGATATCTTATCTATTTTCAGGATTTCAAGTGTGTCATTCATTGGGTGGAGGAACTGGATCTGGCATGGGGACCCTTCTCATTTCAAAAATCAGGGAGGAATATCCAGACCGTATGATGTTGACATTTTCAGTATTCCCGTCCCCTAAAGTATCTGACACTGTGGTTGAGCCATACAATGCTACCTTGTCAGTACATCAACTTGTTGAGAACGCGGACGAGTGCATGGTTTTGGACAATGAGGCTCTCTATGACATCTGTTTCCGCACTCTAAAGCTCGCAACTCCTACTTGTAAGCCTCATTTCATATGCCAATTATCCTTAGTTAACATTTAAGTATTCTTAAAGGATTTCTGTAACCTGTTTTTATCTGGAAGCTGTAGTAACATACGAAGCTTCTATCCTCTGTGCCTGCTTGTTTACAATTTGAAGGATAGCTCTTATATGCCGATCCTTTATGTCAGTTGATTTCTTTAAAGGGTTTACTTTCCTCCCCCACACTCTGCTAAATGCCTCTGTATCAGTGTGTTATCAAGGTCATTGACTACTAGAAAGTTGCCCAATAAGTGCTTGTAGACGATGTCATGTATTTTTCTTTGATTGGTACTGGCACCCTGAGATATTAGTCTCAATATTTGATGGCTTGTGGATTTCTGATGTCTTAGCTATTCTAAATTCAACTTTTCTTCTGTTGCATTTCAGTTGGTGATCTCAACCACTTGATTTCTGCTACCATGAGTGGAGTCACATGCTGTCTTCGCTTCCCTGGACAGTTAAACTCTGACTTACGTAAACTTGCTGTTAACCTCATCCCATTTCCTCGACTCCATTTCTTCATGGTCGGGTTTGCACCTTTGACCTCCAGAGGCTCCCAGCAATACCGTGCCCTCACCGTCCCAGAACTGACACAGCAAATGTGGGATGCAAAGAACATGATGTGCGCTGCTGATCCTCGTCATGGTCGTTACTTAACTGCTTCTGCAATGTTCCGTGGCAAGATGAGTACCAAAGAAGTTGATGAACAGATGATCAATGTCCAGAATAAGAACTCATCTTACTTTGTCGAATGGATTCCCAACAATGTTAAGTCTAGTGTCTGCGACATCCCACCAAAGGGTCTGAAAATGGCATCTACTTTCATCGGGAACTCAACCTCAATCCAAGAAATGTTTAGACGCGTGAGCGAGCAATTCACAGCTATGTTTAGGCGCAAGGCTTTCTTGCACTGGTACACAGGTGAAGGAATGGATGAAATGGAATTCACTGAGGCCGAGAGCAACATGAATGATCTTGTCGCTGAGTACCAGCAATACCAGGATGCCACTGCTGATGAGGAATATGGAGAAGAAGAAGAAGAAGAAGAGGAGATGACAACATGAGACATTTGGCTCGCTGCCATAGAACTCTGGAATCTTTGGTCTGATGGTTTTGTTCCTATGGGTGATTGGTATTTGTGTCGTCGTCAAGGAATGAGTCAGATTGATGTAGTGAATATATCGTAGTATCGTGTGACGTGTTGATCGTTGTATTCGATTTGGGTTTGTTAACTGTATTACTTTGTGTATCATCTGTATCTGTACTTTTTCATGGTTACCTTTTCCTTTGGCATTTTAGTACTTGATGTTTAGCTTAGCCTTGTTTTATATTGGGGTGAAAAGCAGTTTTTGCCTGCAGTAGTTTGCTGGGGTTGTAGAATTCAAAGGGTCGGATAGTTTGGGGCGATGATGAAGTTATTCAACACTTCTAAAAAGTAAGGGTCAGAAAGAAGGATTAAATCCCCTTAATTGGTAAAATAACCTCTAACCTCTTTGTATTGGTCTCTAATTTCTTTATTTCTGTCCCCCCTTTTTTGTTTTGTTTCAGAAAGATAATGATATTATTAAAACACAAATACACATTGCACTAACGACATTCCCACCTGATGGAATTATTCTCAATGCAATGGAAGGGGCAACGAGCCTTTTCCTTTGCTTGCTTATCTTGATCAGCAATGCATGTGAGAGGGACCAGGGCACATCCTCAATTGCAAAACACTAAACTAAAATCTTATTAGGATTTCTTCTGCATAAAAAATAGTATAGGTCTGCATCCAGGCTAGCTTTGTAGTACTCCCTCCGTCCCAAAATTATTGTCCACTTTGATATTTCACTTTTAGTACAATTTAAACTAAAACCGAGAACCCAAATTGAACAATAATTATGGTACAGAGGAAGTATATTTTTCAACCATGAATGACAAATGTTAATAAAGATTGGAGAGTGATGAAATAAACTATATATCTAGAATTGGGTCCACTATTCATGATAAATTTGGTGTCCTTATCAAATTGTCTTTATGTTATGGCCCAATGATGTCAGAATTGTCGATCATCTTGATTGTTCAGCTCAACAATCATCTCAATTATGCCAAATAAGTTTGGTGCGATGGAAAGTTGCAGTCACTCCCCTGGAGTGGTTATAGAGATGGATTCGCATCAAAGAGGCAATAATAGTATTGTGCTATCCTTTTTAGTGTCACAGAAAAAATGTTCAAGGCTAATCTTTCTATTAGCTGCTACGGAGGAGTTTCTTTAATGTATTACCTCTGGAGTGATCGATTAGTTTGAGATGAAGTTGGATTAATATTATTATTATTATTATTATTATTATTATTATTATTATTATTATTATTATTATCTGTGTGTTGGAGTAGATTGACTAATTTGAATTTTCATCTAGAATTCTATTGTTGGACCTTTTATTCTCCTACTAGGAGACATATAATTAAAATCTATCCTTTAACTTGCATTTTATTTTATTTTTTTGGTTGGTTAGCGTAGTTGTTAATGATTAATTATGGGTGATTTACAAATACTACTAAATTAGCTGGGAAATAGGTCGATTTGGAATATTAATTTGTATTCTTTTTTACAAAAAAATCTGAAATGTTTCCCTTAGAGAACGGAAAACTATGAATCAACCAATACCAGTCAAGTCGTTGGAGCATCACTTCAAAGAAACGAACATTTCCATCTTTAAAATTTAACATAATAATGAAAATGAATCAATGATATGTTTGGATAAACATTTTTTTTTTAAAAAAAGAAGGAAAATTACACAAACCTATTCAAATGATAACATAAAGCATAACACAAAAAGATGGAGAGAATATTGTATTTGATGGAGAAACAATATCTTAACCAGAAAATACATCTTTTGGCAATTTGATATGAATCGATCTCAAACCACTTGAGAGCTGAGAGACTCAGTAATCTATTCATTAGACCAATCTATTTAATTTGATATACATTACGAGAAAATCAAACTTCTATCTACTCAGGCACAATTACGCTCAATGATTAGTACATTAATACAATATTTCTTGTAATGGAAGCTAGAAAAAACTACTATGTTGTTTTTTTTTTCTATTTAATATTTTTTTAAAACATCGAAAAATCATACTCAATGAAATTATGAGACTTTTCAACTTGTTAGAAAAAAGGAAAGATAAAAAGAGTATCACTGAGTGTTTTTTTTTTATTTTTTTATTTTGGAAAGGTAGATAACATGATAAACACAGGTCGTCGAAGGGGAAAATGGTTAATTCTCGACAGTTTTGATGCTCACCTATCCGGGTCGATTTAACTTTGTCGAGAGTGAATTTGAACACTAGTTGCATAATATTTTACAAAAGTAAAAAAAAAAACAACCAAAAACGAGGGCATGTAACAGAAAAGCTTGCCTTCACTTCCCTTTTATGTTTTCACTCATCCTCTGCATGGCACATAAATACCAAATCTACAGTATTTACATATTGAAAAAAAAAAAAAAACTGTACAGTAGAAGCTAATTTTAATCGACTCGCAACACATTTCACTTGTATGGATTGTCCAGCTGACAGTTTGCAAGAGCAAAATTTTCCCTATTTATTCATCATTTTGGGGTGCATGGTTTTCCTGCTGGGCAGATCCAGGGAAGACCTGGCCATGGTCACGTACATCTCGAAATATTGAGAGGAAGGAGTTCAGACCCTCAGAGGATGCCCCTCCAAGAATCCATAACAGCAATGAACTGAACGAATTCATTGACCCAGGGTTACCACCACCATCTGGCTGCCGGAGATCAAGTTGAATGGGGTTGCCCAACCGATTGGGGTTACCATTAGCTCCTCGGTCTTGAAATCCAGTGAAACCAGTTGCATCATTTCCAGTCTCTGCTACATCAACTCCAGGATGCAATCCAGGTCCAGAAGCTGACTCTGGATTTACTGTACCTGTATTCCTTGTGTTTAATCTCGTTATATGTAATGTTGAGGCAAGAATTGTCGATGACGTAATGTGAAAATCTGGGTGTTGTTGAAACCGTCGATTCTGCACAAACCGTTGAAGTGCTGGAACCTGAAATTTGGTATACGTGGAGAAGGGAAATGAGAGGTAATCACCAACTATAGAAACATCCTTTAATCTGAACTACAGAATACAGTATATTACCTCAAACCGATTCCAGAAGTAAAGGATAAGATGTTGCATAAACGCCGCTGTTGTAGAGAGTGCTAGATAAGAAAAACCTATTGAAAAATGCATTATTAGATCAAGGATAAAAGCTTGCAAGTAACTTAGTGTAGTTGACCTGTTGTGACCATACCATAAGTATATGAGAAGAAATATATATGGAAGACCAGGAAATAGAGCAGAAAGAAGCGAGGGAAGAATTTCATTGATATTGGTGTGCGCACACTGCAACCAAAGAGAAACCAAATTCTATTAGAGCCAAAATCGACCAGTATTATAAAACTAATTCTTAGAATAAATGCAAATGAATTACAAGACTTTTAGTCTTAATTCCTCTCTCTGGACTAAACTCTTTCTGTATCTTTTTCAAGTTCAAGTGTGAGAGAGAGAGAGAGAGGGAGGGAGGGAGGGAGGGTCACCTGATCAAAGTGAACAGCTCACAGAGCCAAACAAGAATTAGCACCATAAAAGCCAATAGTTGATCATCATAAAATTCAAACAGGAAAAATAGAATGCCAATCATAATCTGAAAAAAAAAAAGGTAAATTAGAAAGTGGAATATGAATCGCCACTGTGAAAATACAATCCATGTAAACGAAACATAAAGTGACTTACTGGTACAAATACAAGAGATTCAATTACATGCACAAATATCAACTGGAATGTCGGAAGCCTATGCCGAGCATGATGTTGGAGTTGAACTGCAAATCAATGATAATCGTTACATAATGAAAGCATGTCATAAGCAAAGTACATAGAGACTCCACGGTTTGTATGCCAGTCTAAGGTCTAAAAGTAACCACAGATTGAACCAAACCTGTAAACTTGAGCATCCGTGTCTGTGTCTCTCTCAATGTAAAAGAAACAGACATTGTAGTGGTGAAAAACACAAAAAGCGACATCATGAAAACGCCACACTTGGTAACAAGATAATCTGCACAAAGACACAAAATGGGATCTCTAAAAATGGATAACCAAACAGTTAATCTGTTTTCAAAGAATAACCTCAGTGCCAAGTTAAGGTCAATGAAAAGGATGGAAATCCCCCCTCAGAGAGTCAAAAGTTCAAAGGGCTACTGAAGAAACAACAGTAAGTACATGCAACTAAATATAGCAAATGTCTGCAGTTCTATCAAGTGCTATAAGGACAGAAAAGATGTCCCTACTGTGTATGCTTCATACAGTGACAACAACACATCTTCATCCCACTATGTGGGATCAGCTATTTCATAAAGTAACAGAGAATAAAACAAACACGAAAGCTACAATATTAGCTTTCAATGTAAATCCTGTTTGAGATAAAATCTCGTATTTATGTACTTGACAAACCATACATCAAAATCATCCAATTCAATGGAAACTTTCCTATCAACCCTAAAGAAAATACATAAATATAATAACTTGAATGAAAAGGTCATTTCAGACAAGTCGAACTGCAAGGTAGAAAGGTATGCAACGACTGCCAACTGGTATTAAATCTTGAAAACCGAGAAGTTACAAGAGCAAAGCAAAGAGAGTTTCACATCTAAAAAGGGTTACATGCCACAAGCACTAGTACGAACTCCCTTACAAGGTGTTGTTAAGATAAGATAGGGACTTTGATGGCAAAAGATGCAGGAAAATCAATACAAAAATTTGCCATCCATTATGAAGCCTCATCTAGAAGTTCATACAGTAAGAATTAATCAATATCTACAGGAACAAAACAATTACATGTGCCTTGCTCAACAAAATCAGAGTAATCACATTCACTTAGTAGTAGTGTTTGAATGTTTCCATAGTTTCAGCCTACAACACTAGCTCATCAGCTAGAATAATAAAATAAGCCGAGCACAAGTACTCAAGCATATGCAATGCGGGAATCAATAGACGAGAATAATTCATTTCTACAACACACCTCAGAGCTTATGCTTTATAACAGCTACACACCTTACTTGATATTATCTGCACTACTTATTGGTATTTGTCACTCCTACTTCAAATCCAGAGACTAATAGGCTGAGGTTATCTAATTTTAAAGTCAAAGATTTAAACCTAAAACAATCTTAGATCAGACAAAATCATGGTGCAGATCTCGAAAACTTATAACCATCCTCAGATCAAGATGAATAGATATACTTGCCCTCAGGGAACCCAGCCCTGACCCTGATAATCAGCTCCCACCCAAAAAGTCATGAACTCCTGATAGCATTTAATGAGACATTAAACAATTTGATGGTTTCTACCAGATTATACCGTCTTAAAACAGTGACTAACAAATTACAAGCAGCAGCTAAAAATACCACATCCTTATCACTGCAGCAAGACCTTTGAATAGAACATATGTGCAGCCATGCTCACAGAAAACAAATTCTTTAAAATTTTCAGCAAAGAAGTCACAGTTTCAAAATGGTAGCAACCGAAAGTATTTAAGCACAGGCATACCATTAAATGCCAGATATTGATCAGTTCATAGAAAGAAAAAATTATTGAGAAAAGAATATAAAAAATAGCCAACCTCCAAATCTTGCAGAGGTTTCTGGTTGTTTGTGCGCATAAGTAAGATTGTAGAACTCGTTTGTCTGAAAATTAAAAAGATACCCTGCATGAAGATAGTAAGATTACTCCACCAGACTGGAATCCAGTATCTAATGGTGAGTATTGACCATATAATTAAAACATTAATGATGGATAACAATTGTAATCAAGTACGGAAAATGAAACAAGAAGTGCAATGTTAAGGAGAGGACTTCGACATACCATTGTGAACTTCACCACCTTTATGCAACAAAAGAAAATAAGAAAGACATTCATTCTTGGAATAAGAGAAAGACCATTTTGATATGCTTCAAATAGAAACAAAACATTCTTGCAGCATTCCCCCATACTAGTGTACATCAATCTATAACAGCAATGGTGAATCAATTGTTGGATGCTTCAAACATCACAGGCAGCATATTATTTTGGATACCGAACACAAATACACAAAGATGTGATGCAAAATGCAAGATTACTATGTACCTCGGCCGGGAGAATCTAGCAGACTATTCATCAGAATAGTATCGTATCCGACAAGCCTATTTATCAAAAGTTGCTGCCACCTGGAATAAACAAAAGGAAACACTCAAAATATGTCAAAACTAATTTTTGCATGTACAAACAAATAAAAATTAAAGAAACTTCAAAATAGAAGGCCTATGTGCTGAAAATAGATTACTCTGGTTTTTTTGGGCAAAGAATCCTTTTTTAAGTGTTCTAAAGAAAATTCAACTTTTGGTTGTTTTAGTCTTAATACAGAATCTTGTAGCAACAGAAGTTAACATCAGCCTTACACAAATGAAACCATTAAATCAAAAGTTAATACCTTACTTGACAGTTTGACAATTAACTTTCTTAAATCGAGAAGGTCCTACTGCTATTATTGTTCTCTTCTAGAGGAAATTGATAATATTAAAGAACATTCAGGATTTTCAAGAAAAGAGTCCTTTTTATGTCCTCTACAACAAATTATACTTAGGTTAGAAGTGTTCTACTAAATATTTTAAACCAAGAGTGGAAAGCACCACTTAAAAAGATGGAATGATCAAAACTAATACAAGCCCACAAGCCCACACTATAGAAGGAACGTGGATATTTTAGTATAATACCTGTTCCCAAAGCAAGGATGCCATGCTGAAATACTAACATTTATGGTACGGATACTGTGCCTTGACCTTGCTTCTTCTGGTAGCAAGAAGTACCCCTGGAAAGAAAATCTAAAACATTAGACTGTGCAAAAAAACAAAAAAAGAACCTACATTTTGATACCCTCCTTTTCACACCAATAAAACATTCAGGATCTCAGTTACAAAATAAAACTGAATGAAATGATGGCAATAATTTAAAAGTAAAGAGAATCACACCTTCTCCATGGTGTATAAATAAGTTGGTTCAAAATTTTTGCTTCTAGTTCCGAGCCACTGCACTGAGATTTCAACATCAAACAAAACTAAGGGACAGGAGAGAATATGAACAAAATAAACACAAGTTCTCAGGCATCTCGAAATCAAAGTTTAAAATCCAGAGGTTGATTGACATAGAAATTTCAGCATGTATTGTTTGTCTCCTACATTTGACAAGAAACACACTGAAAGCAACCAAATGAATACAATGCAAAACAGCCTGTTATGTAAAAACCCGTGCGGAAAACTTTTCTATTAGCAATCTTGCAAAGCACATTCAGCATCAAATAAAGAAAAATAGAAGGAGAACAACAGATTACCGGCATAAGAGTTCAGCTTGTCTAAATGAAGGATCTTTAGCCACTTTGGAACATCTAGATTCAAATGTATCCCCGATATGTCCTGCGTATATAAGATGAGCGCGGAAACAACAAGATAGGTCAGAGTAAATAACGATAGACAACACACTAGTCATGTCATATAATTAATGTTTATCACTGAAATCTGGATCTGAAAGCTAAACAAACCCCAAAAAATAACATCACAACTAAATTTAATAAAAAGGAAAGGACATTTGACAGCAAAATGACTGTATTACAACTCTAAGGAAAGAACACTGGAACCTGAGCCAAAGCAAAACTTAGCCACCTTTGAAAAACTCCCCCAATAATAATTAAAACCTCACAGTATCTCAGCGGAAATGGAACTGTCCAAAAGATTGGTTAGTCAACATCGCTCGTCTATCATAATTGCTTCACCTTCGAAAGGTCTTTCAATTCTCAATGTTCTATCTTACAAAGCTTCTAGTTTAGTCCCTTCGAATCCCAAGAAATTAGTGAGAAACACCTACATAACCTGTTGGGCCTAGTGCAGCCAACACATGGGATTCTACTATTACTCTACTATCCGTCTAATAGACTAATAAGCCTTTGCGGGTCCACTGGGGTCTCTCAAACTAATTTTAAACATTAATAACTTAAATCCAACATCGCACACCACAAGAGCAGATAAGTCTTTGACACGAACATCAAGGCATAAAGTTGGTCAAACTTGACTTGCTTGTCTTTTCCATTCTTAAAGTCAACTGAAAATTTTCTGTTGAAGCTTAAATGCTACTGAACGGTGCACAGTCAAACCATATGAGTGCATAATAACATGTACAACCAAGCAGATTTGAACCTGCGGATCACTCCATCTAGACCAAGACTGAAAAACCATAAACAGATGTATGAGCCAACAAGACATGCAATTTGTCATCATTGCAAAATTTACAATGGAGAACCCTTCTTTTTAGGGGGAAAATCAACAAGATAGAAAATCACTACTACAGCAAGAATTTAATTTCAATAACAGAAGAAAGATCAGAATATGCAAAACTAGCAAAACTCACCCATAAAGCTCCAAGAATTCGTTTAGCAATTCTCCAGAAGAACGATATACGGCCATACCACTTTTTACCCAAGTGAATAACTGCTGCTTTGAGTGATTCCCTTGGCGAGAACCTACTACGTGACCCGTCTTTCTTGTTTTTCGGAGGATCATCATGAGTAGGTGATATAGGAACTTCACCAGAGCCTTCTGTCTGAGATTCCAAATACTCATTATAACTCTTCCAATATTTTACTGGAGATTTATCCATGATAGCACCAGTACTAAGCCACTCCAGCCATAAATTTGCAGAGAGAGGAGTAGCCCCATCTCCATCTGGATTTACAACTTTGAAATTTTCATTACTTTCTTGATTCTGATGAACATTTATAACATCATACTCAGACTCATTCCATGCCCATGAGCCAACACTTGAAATCTGCACCAGAGAGAAGAAAATAATGCATTGGAATGAGATGCAACCACTTAATAAAAAGAGACTGGTATCTACTAACGCCCTAAGACGTTAGATCTGAACTACAAATCAGCTTACAAATAAAAACTTCTAAAATAATGAATCATGTAGATACAGAAAGAGTTGCGCGTAAAGCCAACAATCTTGACAGAAATGGGAAATGGGACTACGACTACAAAACTGTTATGTTAACAAATGTACCTATAGAGATTCAAACTCAGAGGTTTGATTCCCCACACTTATCATCACTCCAATCCTGCGCCCCGACCATAAAATTTTTATATATTACCTCTTAGCCATTCATTTAGATATCCATTTCCACGTTCAAATTCAACGTAGCTAAGTTTATAACAGCATTTCACATTTCACTGAAGATGATAACAGAAAAAGATATACTGACACGTGTAGGCATCACTAGTACAGATAAACAAAGAGTATTTCAGCCTCTCCAGCATATAAGTAAACAACTGTAATTTGAATGTTGCAATCAGTTTCTAAAATATTCATTTGAGGGCTCTTATCTTGGCTTTTTTCTTTTCTTATAATCCAAGTAATAGAATCTACTGTTCATGGTACAATCTCTCATCGAAAAAAGTTTCAAACTCTGGGCCAAAGATGAATCTAAAGCTTATACACGTTATCTCATTTCTCCCAAGAGAACATTATTATCAGTCGCAACATTCAGCCCACAAGCAGTAAATGAAAAAGTTCTGTTAGAAACTATTTTCCTCTGTCCCAAGGACTCTTGAGAACACCTTACTCTAGGAAACTATCACAATTCAGATCGCGTTCGAACCACCATGGGGATCACTTAAGAGAACTACAACTGAAACATTTTCAATGAAAGAAGCCATGACCAGTGATACCTTAAGTTGCATTATACATGACTTTTGTCGCAGCCCAAAACTATTAACACCTCAAATCATGCCTACATCATGAGCTCGCACACTTCCAAAAATGAAGACATAATTCTTCCTAACTGAAAGCCAAAAACAAGGCAAATTAGCCATCAATTAACCCATCCTAAACTGAACCAAAATTCCTAAATGTTTGGTAGCTACTACTAAAGAGAGCAGAAAAATGTCCTTTCTCCCACAAGAATAGGAATGGCTAGTTTTAAAATTTAATATTACATATATTTTTAAGCTATTTTGTACAATGGATCCTCTATTAAGGTTTGGAACAATGCAAGGCAAGCATAATCTCATCTATATTATGTGCTTTCAATGAGCACAACTTAAAGTACCCTTGGAGTCTGATATTCGCAGAAATATCCAAAAGCAAACTTGATTTTTACAACAGACAGATAATAAAGAGTTTTTGATAGCTCCAACATTCCTTCCTACTGAGAGCCAAACATCTACTAATTAAAGAAAAAAAGAGAGGTCGCACTTCCTTTAGTGCCCAAAAAGCTTCGGACTGATGAGAAAAGGGTTAAGAGAAACAAAGCCAGCTACAATGTCTCCTAAAACTGTACAAAACATTCTGCTCCCTCATCAGGAACAACGAATATATATTCAATTCATACAAATCTAATATCAATGAGAGAATGATAAATGAAAATGAGATTGCTCCACATCAATAGACTCCAGGACCTAGAGACCGTGTTTACTCCTTAGCGGCAGATGCCAGTGTTCCTATTGAATCACTACATGAATAGAGCTAAATACATGAACAGTAAAGAAGTATGATAAACACTGAAGAATTCAATACTATTTCTAATCTAGGTGTAAGCAACTTGGGTCTGTTGGATAACAAAACACAGCCTTTATCCGACTGTGTGGGATTAGCAATGTAGATCATATGTCACCATCACGCAGTAAAGAAGGTACCAGGTTAACTAACAAAAGAGGTGCCGATAACAGTTACTTCCAATTATGATTGCACTTTCAACATACTTCTTTAATGATACCCCTCCTTGTCCTCAAAAAAAGCAAGACGATAAGAGAATATGAAAAGAGAGAAAATACACCTAAGCTAATAGATCCACTTAATTTTGATTGTGATTAAGGTCCTTCATATAACCTTCTGTTTTTCACGTCCAAGTTCCTTCATTCAAGAAATACCAACATACTGGTTAAAGTAGATTCCTCTCATTCAAAACTAAAAAGGTCAAACAAACTAGATACCACAAAGGGGAGGGGAGGGGAGGTAGGGAGGGATACAGATAGCAGGAAAATGTAAAAAGATCATACCTTGATCTGAATAAGCTGCGCTTCTGACAGGTCAATGTCTGAAAGTTCACTTGAGCAACCAGGCTTCAAATACATTAACAGGAAATCATAATGAAAGTTAACATGTGGGACAACACGAAAACATAATCAAACATTTCCAGACACAAAGGACAAAAACAAATATCCATACAAGCAATCATGAGTATACAAATGTCTCTGTTAAAATATAACAAGGCTAAAATCGAAGATAGAATAAAGCAAAAGAAGATTAGTTTTAGTAAAAACATCACGTTGTTCATCAAAATCGACAAAAATGGAAATCTTAGACTCAGCAGCAGAACCCATATACTGCAAAGGAGAAGATTAAACATGATACCAAATCAAAAACATAACCACAAACAAGCTTAACTACAAGAGCTAGCATAAGAGTGCAAGAGAATTAAGACAGGAAAGAGTTCAAAAAACAAAACAGCTCTTGCTGGCTCGAAATCCACATTTGATAGCCTCTATTCATAAGAAAGCTTGACATGCACTAACAACTATATGTAACAGCAAAAGTATTTACTTTTTAGCTCCAGTTGTATAACCTTGTCAAAAGAAGAAAAGCTACTGAAAAAGGGGTCACTTAACTGTCATCAAAATTAAATACGTAAAGCACTAAAAACTGAAGTAAGAATGCCAAGAAAATCTAACAAAAGAGAGCACAAAGCCAAGAAAACAAACTACTCTATAAAAGTGAAAGAATTTGACAAGCACATTCAGGTTACCCCTAGTTCTAAACAACTTTTTGGCAAGTGGTATCGACAGCAATCAGCCAAAAAAGAATGCAGAGGTATAATATCTGCACAGTGATTGAATCAAACTTCTAACTTATGCAGGCAAAGCTACCTAACAAACGGATAAAGGCGCAGAGGTCAAAAGAATGAATATCCAGTTTTTCCACAAAGTCAATTAAACAATGATTGATTTACTACAAAGGTTAATGAATCTCAACTTTTCTAACATAGGTTATCAAATGCCATTGCAGATGGAAAACAAGAACAAAGAGATAAATAGAGAAGGTTAAGACATGACTATTAAACTGAGGCCTGAGAAGATAAGAGCATCCTGAACTCGTGTAAAGACTATGTGAAGATTAGTAGTTAAGGAAAGGAAAAACGGAATTAGGTTTTCTCCACAAAAGCTAAAAGGAAAACCCAACATTAAGCTCCTAGGCCTTCCTTCTTCCCCAAAAAACGGTTATGCACCAAGACACTCAATCAGGTTAAAAAACTAAGAACCCAAATATTAACTGCATCAGCTCTGAAACAAAGACAGACAATTAACATCCATTAATATCAGAAATTGAACAATACATTCCTATTCCGAACAAAGCCCAAGTATTCCAAATTTCTTGCGACTTTGAAAACAATAAACTTCAGCAATATCTCAATCAAAACTACAACCTTGAAATTCAATTAAGAAATGACAAAAACGAAGGTTTAGAAAAGAACAATCAAAGACATACCTGCTGAACATAGTTGGCGTGCATTACAACGAGAATACAGAAAAGGGTTATGGCAATCAAAAGGTATAAGTACTCAAGCGTGACTCTGATCTTTGGAGTCATCATTTCAGAGAAGCGTTCTTGAACTCTGATAAAAGTTTGTTCCGGATCCATTCTATTCTAGTTTTTTCTTCTCCTCTTAATTACAGTAATCCAAAAGCAACATCCGGCGTCATCCTCATCGCAATCCTTCCATAGAATTCAAACACGTTGAATGCATTGAGCTTATCTGTCGAAATGGGTAATTTTCAAAATTTTTGTTTCTTCTGAAGGGGTTTGTGGGTTGAAGGGGATTTTGGAGAGATGATCATATGACATCATATTATATGCTCATTGTTGGCCGTAGTTGACGATGTACAAGCATCTCCGCTGTTGGTACAAGTTTTCACACGTACGTATTTTTATTTAAAAAAGAAAATTGGGTTAAATAAATCAATCATTTTCAATTAATATAGAAATTTGATGACTTGTTAATTTCTTTTTTTAAAGAAATGATTCTGGTATGTTTGTTTGGTTTTTTAGTGTGTTTTTAGGTGTTTTTTCTATTGAAAATGTAAAAGGGTATATTAAAAATGTAAAAAGATATATTGGAATGGGACCGTTATTAATATTTAATTCTGAAAAAATAAAACAAACAGAGCCGAAGTGTCAAAAGAAATGTTGTCCAAACCCCTTGTTCGACACTTTAATATCTTTTGTCAATTATGGAATTCTTATTAGAATTAAGGACGGTTGGTTTGGTTAGCAAATGGTCATTTTATCTAACATTTGGTGTGTCCTATAATACCTCTCTAACTATCTCTCACCATAACCAATCAACTTAGGAAATATTGATGCTCGTTGAGATGCAAGATTGATAAATTCGTATTTGCGTTGCAATTCAAAAATATTGAAAAAGAGAGATATATTAATTTCAACTTTTTTCCTCCCTAATTTTGAGATATGATATCTCAATAATGCTCAAGTTGAAAAAGTGACTATAAATTTTTAGTTTAGTACAAAATAAACAAAAATTATCAAAAACTCTGCTAAATTAGAACGATAACTGTTGCGACATGAATTATATTCAAGTTACACATAGTTCTATTTACAGACAGGTAAGTACGAAGTCCTTTTTTAGGAATTTTTTCCTTAAATATATGTAAAAAAAAAAACCTAGACAAAAATAAAACTTTTTTAAAACCTTGTGGACAAATTTATATGCCCCGGATTTAGGAAATCCGAATGGGGGGAAAACTCGGATTTCGGAAATCCGACCCCAACTAAACTCGGATTATTAAAATCCGACTTTGTATTACGTAAATCTGAAATTAAGTTAATGACAAAAATTAGTGTAATTAATCTAAATCCGGATTTTATAAATCCGATTTTATGAATAAAATATTAATTTCGGATACTATAAAAAAATGTGTTGAAAAATTAAATTCGGGCGAACTCGGATTACGAAATCCGAATCGCTTCTCGTTTTTCGAAAAATGGTGACTCCCGGTTGGCCACGGACTCGGATTTCGAAATCCGAATCCTTTAGAAAAAGTCCGGGTTCGGATTTCGCAAATCCGAGTCTTTGTCGAATCGAAAAAAATTGACTGATTTTCACCAGTCCTAAACATGTTTACAACACCAACAACAATGAAACATTGGAAAATAGGAATTTAATAACAACAAAACAATAAACGGCATTCAATTAACAACAAAATAAATCAAGTTTCATAAAAAGTTTAATACAAAAACTACAATAAATGTCCAAAATAATGAAATGTCTCATTTTTTCCCTTTTCCTTTATTGTGCGCATCCGAGTGTATTTGTTTGGGCCTGTCGGATCCTGTCTCCCCTCTTAAGATATGTGAGTATTGAACTTTGGTGTGGTTGCGACTGTCCACCAAACCGAGCCTCGATTTGGGGTTGAGATTGGGACTCCCCATGGTGATAAATTTGACTCCGGTTGTGGTTGCGATTGTCCACCAAACTGAGTCTCAGGTCCACCAATGTCAAACTGAGTCTCGGGTCCACCAATGTCAAACTGAGTCTCGGGTCCACCAGCTTCTTCAAAATGAGTCTCGACCTGGATGCGCGAGCCTCGAGAGGAATGTGCTTGATCCTCATTTTGTTGACCCTCAGTTTGTTGTTGCGATGTCCGAGGGGGGATTGTGACCTTTCTCTTTCTTCCTCCTCCAATCTTATCTCTTGACCACGGTTTCGCTTTTTTACCCGGCGGAGGTTGTGAGGGAAAAAATGGATCTTCATCAACCAGGATTTGGGTATCATCCACCTCCATCTCATCATTTGCGCCCAAGGTTAAAGCAGCATGTGTTTGATTGATGATATCGTCCAAATGCTTGTCAAGTTCTTCGTCTAGGAGATTATCATCTTCTCGTTTTTCTCTAAACCTCTCGGTACTCACGCGAATGTTGTTCAATACTTCACCCTGAAAAGAAATTGGGACGTTAATTAAGAGAGTAAAGTTCTAAAAAAAAATGAAAAAAAAATGGAAACATAAGAAATAATAAAAGAAATCTACAATTAACTCACATATAATTTCACGCGGCTCAAGAAGTCTCGTATCCTTGAGGTTCATAATTACCGGATTGGATATCAATCGACAGTGTTCACCATAAACCATTCATAGTACCCCTCATATACGGAACCGGGATCTCCTTCCTCCAAATCTCGTAGCACGAACTCTTCTCTCCTATTCCAATGACGGCGTCTTTGCGGAATGGTGATCCTCCCAATTATTGCTAGGATACCCGGACATACGTGGGCGTGATCGAGAAGAAATGCTGCGTTATCTTTAATCATGGGCGCTTGGGAACATCCTGTATGTATCCAAATTGTCTTACGACTCGCCCGACTCGTGGGGTTCCCTAATAGCCCAACAGAACATCCAACACCTAGTCGTCCAAATGGCTTGGCCTTGTGTACGAAATCGGGAGTCTATGGAGGACATGTGCATATGGTTGCCACCGAAACCGCACGAAAAAATTTCATTAGATGGTACAACCGAAACCAAAAGAAAGGGGTAATTGATCTCAAAGTAAATATAAATACCAAATTACAAGTACTTACATCTTCAACACGCAGACTTGTTAATTGATCTCTAAACGGTGGAGTGCTGCTCCTTGGGGCGTCGCCGTACGTGTACCTACATTCCCACCTTAATAAACAAAGGGGTACATTTGAATTAGTGAAATAAATGAATAAGAAACAAATAGAATTAAACGTTGAGTTATTTTGAACTGAAAATACGTACCGCTGAGCTAATGGAGCGGTCTCATCAAGCAAATAATCTACTCCTTTTCTTTGAGGCGCGATCCTCTCGATCCGCTCATACGCCCATACCTAGTAAATTGCAATAATAATGTAGAAACTTCAAATTATAACGTCGAAAGCGCAAAATAATTAAAGCACAATATGAAAACTAATACGTACCTGTAGCAAATATAGACACCCGGTGGCGTCGTGCATGGTATCTTGTGATGCCTCGCATAGGCAGTACAACCCGGCCAGAAGGTGCCGATCCCCAACCGTATCGACTACACCGATCCAAATCCTCAACTGGGCCAAGAAGCGTAGATTGACAAGGTGTTCGCGTCTTGTTCGGAAACATGAAACTGCTAATAAAATGCAGTATAAGTGTCCTGGCCCTTTGCTCGAATCGATGGACAGTGGAATTTGAAGGTAGTGCACGGCCCATCTCATCTTCGAAAATACCAACATTGACACATTGGCCATTTACAATCGCCAGCCGGAATCCCAAATAAGCCTCACATCGATCCCTCCATTCATCGCAGTCCGGCTAAGCTGTCGTGCCGTACACCGGTCACCATCCACCGAATACCAAACAGGACCTCGACGTCCTGTAGCGTCACCGTCGCCTCTCCGAAATTAAAATGGAAAGTGTGGGTTTCTGGCCTCCACCGTTCCACCAACGCGGTAATGAGGCCTAGATCAACTCTTTTGTACCCTACCTTCATGATCCCCTCAAAACCGGCTCTCCTAATGACTTCCTTAACCTCCGGGGCCGTATTTTTATATAACGCCCAAAAATCGCTGTCGTACCTACGGCCCTTGAGGTGGAATGTCTTAATGTCCGGTATCCTGTTCTCATAGACAGCTTGGGACCTATGCTTTGTTTGACGATATAGCATTTTATCTTGTATAGGTCCCGGGTGAAGATGTTTAGGTTGATAGTCATATTGGGAGCCCGATGCCGGCGTCGCCATTTCAATCCTACACAAGGTAACCAAAAAAAAACAAATCAACCAAACCATAAACATTCGGCCAAATAAACAAGACTACCAAACCATATACATTTGGCCAAATAACAAAACTACCAAACGATGTACACTCGGCCAAAAAAAACAAATCAACCAAACTTCAAATTATTCGGCCAAATAAACAAGACTACCAAACTATATACATTCGGCCAAATAACAAATCAACCAAACGATGTACACTCGGCCAAAAAAACAAATCAACCAAACTTCAAATTATTCGGCCAAATAAACAAGACTCCCAAACTATATACATTCGGCCAAATAACAAATCAACCAAACGATGTACACTCGGCCAAAAAAACAAATCAACCAAACTTCAAATTATTCGGCCAAATAAACAAGACTACCAAACTATATACATTCGGCCAAATAACAAATCAACCAAATGATGTACACTCGGCCAAAAAAACAAATCAACCAAACTTCAAATTATTCAGCCAAATAAACAAGACTACCAAACTATAAGCAATTCACAATAGACACAATTTAAATTCAACACAAACCAACCACAATTCAAAAAAAAAAAGGACTCGGATTTCACAAAGAAAAAAAAAATTTTGACAAAAAAAAAATAAAGAGAGGATCGCGAATTTCAAACTTACAGTGAGGAATGGAGGAAGTCGGGAGGAGTGGAGGAAGTCGCCGGAGGTGGAGAGTCTCGGAGGGAGTCGCCGGATTGCAAGGAGTCGCCGGAGGTGGAGAGTATTTGAGGAGACACGCCGGATTGACCAGAGGGAGGAGAGTCGCCGGAAATGGAGTCGCCGGATAGTGGTGGGAGTCGCCGGAAATTGGAGGTCGTGGAGGGAGTCGCCGGATTGAGTGGTGGGAGTAGCCGGATTTTTGTTTAATTGGAGTTTAGTTTTAGGGTTTTTAATTTTGGAATTGGGGAAAAATGGGAAGGGAAGAGTTGACGGAACAATATATAGTCCGTCAAACTCGGATTTGCTAAATCCGAGTCTTCCTATTTCCTCAAATTTCAACTCTCGGATGGTTTCACAAACACGGATTTCGAAATCCGAGTCCTTTGCAAATAAAAAATAAACTCTGAGTTCGGATTAGCGAAATCCGAGTTAGTACTGTTTCTTCTCAAATTTCAACTCTCGGATACTTTTCACAAACACGGATTTCCTAAATCCGAGTACTTAGTAAATTCGAGAAAGTCTCTGAGCTCGGATTTACAAAATCCGAATTTGCCCTGTTTCTCCTCAAATTGCAACTCTCGGATGCTTTTCACAAACACGGATTTCGTAAATCCGAGTTCTTAGTAAATTCGAGAAAATCTCTGAGCCCGGATTTAGGAAATCCGAATCTCCCCTGTTTCTCCTCAAATTGCAACTCTCGGATGCTTTTCACCCAATCGGATTTCTGAAATCCGAGTCCTTTGCAATTTCAAAAAAAAACTCTGAGCTCGGATTTCTGAAATCCGAATTCTTCACAAAACCTTACAATGATGAGTATTTTGCACAATCCGATTTTGATTATGAAAAATAGTACATATTTCATCACACTTTACAATCCGAAAAATTCAATGTTCACATTACAATCCGAATTTATCAATGTTCACATAAATTTATCAAACACTAAATAACTTGCAAGAACAGTAAATTACACTCAATTCCAGCTGTCATTCACAGGTCTTCTATCTACTCCTAGGTGCGAGAACGGACATGAATTGGCATCATGACCTAGTTGTCCACATCTCCAACATTCCCCCCGGCTCCGGCGTCCCCTGTAATCCATTTGCATTCTATGTCTCCTTTTTTGTCTTCGTCCCGGTCCCGCATGCAACACAAGACGCTCATAATTCGGAATGATGTTCCAATTGACCATCGGCCATTGTTCCTCATCGGGAACCGGAACAAAGCCCGTGTAATCGAATTGTCTGCGCCACGTTGGAAGGCGCCACACACTATGGTATAGATCAATAGGCCGATCCCCTTTTCTCCGACAAACTTGGAGTGCATGCGTACAAGGCATCCGGTACTCTTGCCACTTCGCACGAACACCTATGTTCATCGTAGTTCACCGTATGCGAGACCCACCCTGCCACTTAGGCGTGTGGCGTAACAACACGCCACATAGCATCATCACCATCGAAAGGGGTGGCTTCAAACTGGCTGCTTTATCATTCATTTTCTCGTATTTTTCCATAACTCAGGAGGGATCGGTGTCATGCAATTTCTCGCAGACAATTGTTCTTCTCTATAGAATTTAACAGTTTTGCGAAAGGTTGCATCGATCAAGGCTCTAATTGGTAAAAAACGGATCCCTTTCAACGCATTATTGTAACTCTCAGAAATGTTGGTTGTCGCTATGCCCCAACGGCGAAGACCGGCTTTCAATCGAGCCCAGTTACTCCCCCCAATCCCTCGAAGATACTCCCATGCAGCAGGTTTGAATTCAATAAGCTCTACCCTCATACGGTTGTATTTCACTCTTGAAAGTGTCGTCCCCATCTTCCAACATAACCGCTTCACCTTTTTGCTATTATATCGTGACACAAGATTGCTGCGAACGTGGCGGAGGCAAAGAAAGTGCCCACCATCACCTAAATCACGCCATTCATCCATCTGTGACATTGCGCTCAACAACCCTGCATTCCGGTCGGATATCACACTTACGATTCTATCATACACAACCCACAACCTCAAATTCCTCATAAAAAATGTCCAACTCTCTACTGTCTTCTCATCAACAATCGCAAATGCAACCGGTAAAATGTGCTTGTTTGCGGTATACACCACCGCAACAAGCAATTTACCCTTGTATCCACCACGCAAAAAGGTTCCATCGATACAAATGACCGGTGGACATTCAAAAAACGTCTCAGCCACCGGTGCAAATGACCAGAAGACGTATTTAAATGTCCGGTTTCCCCTGTTCCAACCTTCTTGTCCCTCCTTCCATTCCCACTCTACTACAGTCTCAGGATTAGTAAACTTAAGTGCAGCGATATACCTAAACAACAACAAGTCATTGTTAAAATATTTCAATACATGTAAAAATAAAAATACTATAAATATTTCAATACACGGATAAAAGTTGATATTTACCGTGGAAGTTCTTCGAAATGGAGGTCCAATCACCATAAACCGCTTCTATGGCTTTCCTCCTCCCGTGCCACGCCCTTTTGTATGGCACATCTACTTTCAATAAGGTCTTCACATCTTTCTGTGCCGAGGCTACCGTATAATCTACGTTGTCCTCAACCTTTCTCCTGATGAGTCTAGCAATCAAAGACGCGTCCACACACCGATTGTCATTATCATTCACAGGAGTCATGCAATTATGTGCATTATGCCATCTCACAATTTCATGAAGGCCGTGAGCTTTCAATGACACACGCATCTTCCACTCACATGGTGGTTCACCATCCTCACTTTCCACATTAAATGTTCTGCACCGCACAGCCCACGTTCTTGGACTACTCGCGGCGACCGTATATTCCCTTTTATGATGGATATTCCATAATTTCACAAAGATGCTTTGCTTCTGATTGAGATTTGAAACAAACACCAATGTCCATTCCTTCGGGCGTCTCATCCCACATCTTAAGAGCAAACTCATCCTTGTCTACACATGAGGCATCCCAGTTCCCCATCTTACTATATACATGGCGTCGGGCGAATAGATTACAATCCCTTTCCTCATTTTCCAACCTTTCATCATCACTTTCTTCAAAATCACTCTCTCCGGAGACATCACAGTCTTCTTCGCTTTCACTTGGAGCTATGTAGTCGGAATCCAACTCTTCCCGGTAGTCATTTTGTGCAAATAAAGGTGTCTCCTCTTCATCACGGTTTCGAGAAGTACTAGCACGTTCCCCCCTTCGAAAATCACCAAATGACACGTTTTCCAAACTCGCTTCTCTTTCTTCTTGAGTGATATCTTCCAAATCTATGTATAAATCCAAACATGACATTGGATCTACACGGTTCATGAACTCTACATGCGAATCATTCTTGATCTTCACTACACGCCTACCACCGGGACTATCGAAAATCAAAGAAAGGTGGAGTTTCACGTGTCTGGATCCCAACCAAGGGTCATACAAATCTTACTAATCAATCCCTCATATGACAACCTTTCTTCGACAAACAAACCATCATCCGGCATATTCGAAAAGTGTTGATGCTACCGTTCTCTATCACA